AGAGTAACATTAGTGAATTTTTTTATTGAATGCGCAAATAAGCCTCATCCCGTTCTCGATAGTTCGGGGTTGATACAAAAATATCGATTCGGTGCCATTGCGGTCCGATCTGTCTGGTTCAATACAATGTCTTTTCAGTGCTCACCCTTAAGTTTTACAACATCTAGAATGACTAAAAAAAATACTTCTATTTCATTAGACCTTGTTCATACACACTTATATCTATATTTACTATTTCGTGTTGGATTATTAGTTTAATAAGAAAGATAGGTAATAAATGTCTTGAACTATGAGTATATATGGGAGAACACATGTGCAATTTTTGGAACAACATGTAGAGTAAGGTGACAGATTTTCTATAACAAGATAAATACTACGTATGTTTTTTTATGTTGTGTACATCAAACCATTTTTTCTGATTAGTTTGAAAAAGTTTATAAATTTACATGTTCTTTGAGGTGGTGTTGAGAGTTTGAGATGAATATTATGGGTGTGTTTTGAAAAACAAAGAAAATTAATTAATAAAAATTAATTAAATAAAATGACAAAACGAAAACAAGAAATGAGATGAAGCAGAATAAGCCAAAGCTCGTGCTACGCACGATTTCCTTAAAACGTATTCGTTGCCTCCCGGGGTGCTAGGAGCGTTGCAAAAATCGTTTCCCAGGATACGATGACTACGAACAAGCGTTTGAGCACTCAAACGAAAGTTTTTGTGGAATGCTAGAGGTGTTTGTTTTAGCTCTGAAAATATGTGCACGAAGTGTATGAACGTGTGTAGTTAGCAAAGCACCTACTAGCCTTTTATAGGGGTGGATTATGGTGTGTTAATGGTTGTTTAAGGCTTGTGAACGTTGGACATCAATGTCCTAAACGTTGGGCATTGATTCCAGCCAATAAACAGCCCGCGCATTAAGGTACAAAGACGTTGGGCATTCCAGTTCAGCATGGAGCAAAAAAAAAATAGGAGATAGGACAAAAATTAACGTTAACTTTAGAAGATAGGATTTTCGGACGGCATTCGTGTCCGCAGGTAGCCCGCGCACGCAAGTCGCGCTTTTTGTTCTTCGGTTTCGGGATTTGATTCGCACCCCCCCCTGCGCTCGTGAGAGAGCCTTTCCCTTTAGGAAGCTTAACTCCTTAGGGGGGTTTCCCTTTATAAAGGGTTCAAATTCCCTTGTGATTTTCGGTGTGGGAAAAACCATACCAAAAACTCACCTTTTCCTAGTTTTCTCCATTCCAACGGGTAAACTTCGAAAAGCGATTTCTCATTCACCCGTTATCCGTTTTGAGCGTACCATATATCGAATAGTAGCCCTAAGCAAGGACAATCCGAAACCACTTTGACCCGACCCAAATCGGAAGTGGACCCCGCTCAAAAATTTGCCCCAAAATGACCATTTAATGCAATTTAACACACTTTTTTCCAACAGAATATTTATTCATTTTGTCAATATAAAAACTTTAGATTATATAAAAACAAAAGTAACCAGTAATAAGCAGCAAAAACGCATCACCGTCATGCAACAAACTATAAAATACACATTTAAAAAAATAATAGATCAATATAGTATTTTTTGTCCATAAACTTTTTATTAGTAATATTTAAGAAAAAACACTTGAACACAACTTTACTTTTGTTCCGTATCTGGTTTTAGGTCGTCATAACTGAATTCACACCTAATTTAAAATTGACAAAGTCCAATGGAATTGAAGTGTTATCTTTTTAGTCTCAACATGTTGTAAAACTTAAGGGTGAGCAAAAAAAACCGAAAAGACATTGTGAGCCCGTTTCGTAACACTAAAATTAGCTTTATTGGCTGATTCTGCTGAAATTTATGAAGTTCTGGCTGAAGTGGTTGTATTGGTTGATTCTGCTGATTCATGAAAAAATTATATTTAAAATATTTGTTATTAATAAATAAAATAAAAAATTATATGAAAAATAGTTAAAATGATCCTCTACAGTAACTTCAGTCAATACAGCCAGAAAAGTAACTTCAACCTTACTTTTTCTGCTTATTACACAATTCAGTGCGCGAAATCAAAAGTTACGGTGAAAAAGCTGGCTGACAAGCCTGATAAGCCGAAAAAGGGGGTCACCAAACGGGCTCTGTACTGAACTAGACGGACCAGAACGTTGTGGCACTGAGTTGATATTTTTGTACCAACCCCGAACAATCGAGAACGGGATCAGACGTATTTGCACATTTAATAGAAAAAAATCCACTAATATACTCTTTAAAATATATATGATGGAAAAAAATATTAGTAACTATTAATGATTATAATTGTGTTTAAGTTTACATCGTAGTAATTGCATGTAAGTTATTACGACATAACTTTGAACACAATTATATAACTAATACTTCGTAGTTACTAAGTACTCGTAATATTTTTGTGCATAACTTTTTTATCAGTAATATTTAAGGAAAAACTTCTTTTAATATTTAATTAGCAATTAATTTGTAAATTTAAATTCCATTCATATAATTTTTTGAATGAAATTCCATTCATATAATTTTGAAAAACAATGCACCCGCAAGCCACTAACATATACTCCGTACGTAGTATGTTCGCTTAGGATAATTTCTGAAGATTGAGAATTTGAGATATCTACACGTCTCATTACTCTCATCCCTTTGCCTTTTTATTATCATGCTCCGTATTTTGTTGGCCTACCGCCTACGTGCTCGTTAATGAGCCCGTCACGGGCTCTTTAAAATTTTTGTACAAATGTCTCTTTTTTGGAAGAAACTAAAACAGGTCCTATATTTGTCTAAACTCATTTAATTAGTAATATTCATGACCCAACCCTTTCTTTTTTGGCTTATAATCACTCTTTTCAGCCATTCTTTTAAATTTTATAATAATTTTAAATAATTAAGATTGATGTAACATCCTAGTTCAGCAACGTCTAAGGTCGTTACTCCTTAATGTTCTTTAGATCCAGGACAAATCTTTACTTTGCAATTTGTCTTCACTCGTGAGCATTCTGGGAAACTTCCTAGGAGGTTACTCATGGTAAGACTACTATCACGCAAACACGTTTGACCTCGGAGTTTTTTAGAGACAAGCTCTCTAAAAACAATATGCACTTTGTTAGCATGAGTAGTACTTTTAGTTCTGATTCTAGGGTGTTAGAGTTGAAGTTACTTTTCCATGAATTTTTTGAGTGAGACATTTGGCTATTTCTCGTTTACCCCCCTTTGTATCATAATAAGTGTCTTAGTAGGTTTTTTCACATAATTTAAGATAATTTATAGGTTTATTGTACACTTTTTAAAAAGTATGAGATGTTGGTATGGTAGAAGTACTATTTATTTTATAAAAATGTAGTGTAGCTACTTTTGGAATGAATATCTTTCCAAAATGTAAGTGTGACACTTATTTTGATACGACCCAAAAACAATTGTGACACTTATTTTGAAAGGAGGGATTATTATCTATGTTATTAATAAAATCACAATTCAACAAATTCAATCTCTTTAACTAATAAAGTTCACCATTTTCCTTATATTCAGCCGATTCAACCAATTTTAAAGTGCTCAAATCATAAAATTACGTGAAAACTTAAAACCATGATTAACTAAGATATAATATTGTTGAAAAACTAAGATATATTGATGAGCTATATATATGTATATGTGTGTGTGTGTGTGTTTGTATGTATACACACATATTAACATTTAAATAGGCAACAAATCAAGAAATCCCTATTATTAATACGGAAATTGTCCTAAATAGGACTAACGAGTTCCTAAAAAGCACAAATTGGACTACTACTTTTTAAATTCCCTAAATACGACTAAACATTGATTTTCTACCCTAAATACCCCTAAGAGTATTAATTCATAATGAAATGCTTTAATTCATAATAAAATCATAAAAAACTTAAAAAATATTTAAAAAACGTAAAAAAATTATAGAAAATTTATAAAATATTTATAAAATAAAATATTTAATTTTTAAAAAATATTTTTATTTATTTTCTATTATTATTTTTACGATTTTTAGTATTTTTTTCGATTTTTTTATGATTTATTATTAATTAAAACATTTCACAAGCTACAAGGGTATATTTGTCCAAACACACATAAATAGTCCTATTAAGGGAATTTAAAAAATGTAGTCCTATTTATGCAATTTTGCCACTTTTTAGTCCTATTTAGGGAATTGACTCTTAATAATATATAATGAAAGTTTCCTATAATCACACAATTTTAATAAAATAAGAATGATATGTTTACTTGTTCTCATTGACATCCCTACTCAAATTGATGCAATCAACCGGTGGGTGTATCTCAACTGGTAGCGAGGGAGTGCCACAAGGGTTAGGTCCTGGGTTCGAATCCCGGCAACTGCGATGAGAGGTTACTGTGCTAAAAATGCATAGGGCCTCTTCAAGTATCGGGGACGGAACCCCACTCTCTATATGTCAGATTGTGATTATAGTCCAATTTACATCCTCCCATCATGTCGTCCGATCGGTGTTGGGGGGACATCAGGGATGGGGTGTCATCCTTTTTTTTTTCAAATTGATGCAATAAGGTGATCTACAAACATCACATTGCTTCACACATAAAGTGACAATCGCTGTATGTCGGGCTCACACGATGAACAAGATTATCAGCAATGTGAAGATCAGAATATCACTAGTATTAAAGGCATGGAATGAAGTATGCCCAATGGGTACATGAAAACCAAGTCTAACTAGTAAACCTCATAACCATATGATCTTTAAACACACATAAACCGTCCTATGGCAGAAAGATGAGAGTCTCCACATGACCACATCTATCCCAGTAAACATTAATATAGGCAGATAGTTCGAGGGAAGATTAGATCAGAAAATGTAGGGGTGAGTATAAAATCTGAACCGAACCGTTCCGTAATGGTATCGAATCGAATATCGGTTCTATATATTTTTATCCCGAATCGAAACCGTACCGTATTGAAATAATTAGATACTCTACACTTCCATTATTTCCATATCACCATGTGTATTGTTTTCATTTAAGTTAGCACCCCTGCGTGGGTATCATTACATGCATGTCCCATGCATGTTTCCTCTCTCTTCATACCACACTTATTTGTATTATATATAGCATGAAAATGCTCTTGCATGTATATACGCATATATTGAACTCCTTCAAGGAGGATTGTTTCTTCCCATCTATTTCATAGTTTCACCAATACTTATCAATTTTATCATGGTATCAGAGCCGAAATCCTGGAAGTAATTTCTTAAGTTCTCATAAAATATGGCGTATACATTGCCACATGTTCGTTCTTGGATAATTGACTCTGGGGCTATTGAACACATCACGTGTAGTGATAACAACCTCTTTGATATCAATCACACGCTAGAGCCACCAGTCAGAATTCCTAACGGTGATTTAATTTCGGTTCATGCTGTTGGTGATTTATACTTACCCAATGGGCTCCGACTTAAACGTGTTCTATACATTCCAAAATTTCAGTGCAACTTACTTTCTGCTAGTCGCCTAACAAGTGATCTAAATTGTACACTCACGTTTTTTCAGACTTTTGTATTTTACAGGATTTGCCCTCAAGAAAGTTGATTGGTGTGGGTAAATTTCGTAATGGTCTCTACTATTTGGAGTCCTCGAGAAGTGAAGGAGTGGCAATGTCAGTCTATATTACCTGTGATTTATGGCATCAACGTTTGGGGCATGCATCTGATGGAAAGATACATCATATTGGTTATCTCAAGGGTTTTAAACGGGACAATTTTTTTTGCGATCCTTGCATGCGAGCTAAGCAGACCAGGCTGCCCTTCCCAAGAAGTACTATTAAGACAACTCGCTGTTTTGAATTGATACATTGTGACATTTGGGGACCTTATAGATGTGATTCAACCTCCGGAGCACAGTATTTTCTATCTATTGTTGATGACTTTACTAGAGGTGTTTGGGTTTATTTAATAAAAAATAAGTCCGAAGTTCCTCACTTGTTGATTCACTTTTGCAATATGGTAAATACCCAATTTGAACGTCAAGTCAAGCGAATCCGCACCGATAATGGCGCCGAATTTCAAACCAATGTTTTACGTGAGTATTATAACCATAACGGAATTTTGCTAGAGACATCATGCACCGATACACCACAACAAAATGGGGTAGTAGAAAGAAAACACAGACACATATTGGAAGTTGCTAGGGCTCTCCGTTTTCAATCTGGGTTATCCATTAATTTTTGGGGAGAATGCATTTTGACTGCCGTCTACATTATTAATAGACTTCCGTCACCCCTTATCTCAAATAAAACTCCCTATGAAATGTTATTAGGTAAGGTGCCAAATTATGAACATTTGTGAGTATTTGGATGTTTGGCATATGCCCACAACAATAAACAAAAGGAAAAATTTGGTGAAAGGGGGAGTCCTTGTATTTTTATTGGGTACCCATACGGACAAAAGGATTATCGTGTCTTTGATTTACAAAAGCAAACGGTGTATAGTTCTAGGGACGTCACATTTTTCGAACAAAAGTTTCCGTTCAAAGTTATAGATGATCCAGATCTTGACTTTGAGAGACAAGTTGATCAAGTGTACAACCATACAATAAAACAAAACTCTCCAATAAACCATGACAACTGCAGTCGGTCATCCCCACCTAACCAAAGAAATAGCGGACCCATATCAGGGATGGGTGGCCAAGATAATTACAACAGGAACACAACTACTAAGATTCCTGCTTTGGAGAGCGTGGGCAGCGACACTCAAAGAACAAATCCTCGTGGTCCAATTAATATGGACAGTTGCTCTCCCTTGGACAAAAGCTCTCATCAAGGACAATACCAACAGGCAGGTACGGGAGTTTTTGAACACTTTGATGTGAATGACCAACCTCCTTTGGAAAGATGCCTCCTTCCGGGAAATGAGATGGAGGGACCCACTAGCCAAAATGATCCCAAAGTGGGAACCAACTTTCTTTGGGAAAATGTCTCCGTCCAGCAAATGGAGTAGAAGGGCCCACTAGTCAAAATAGTTCAGAATTCACAGCTTCACAGCCATGCAACGTAGAGGAGTCGCACTCTCCAATTGTGACTTCTAAATACGTTGTACCAACACGTGAATCACAGGAAGGAAAAAGAATTCGGAAATGTCCGAAGCACCTGGCAGATTATGAGACTGAATTGCCACCCTCACTTGACCATTCACGGACCACCGCCAACTCAGCCGACTCAATGGTATATCCTATTTCCCACTTTATTAATTATGATAAATTCAGTTCCACTCATAGAGCCTATCTAGCGGCCATCACCTCACGTGATGAGCCGAAAAATTTTAAGCGTGCTGTACAAGATCCTTTATGGAGAGAGGCTATGCAAAAGGAAATCACTGCCTTAGAAGAAAACAATACTTGGACTCTAGTCAACTTGCCACCTGGAAAAAAGACAGTGGACTCTAAATGGGTTTATAAAATTAAATATAAACCCAATGGAGATGTGGAACGTTACAAAGCTAGATTGGTAGCCAGAGGCTTTACTCAAATTGAGGGAGTTGACTTTCACGAAACATTTGCACCGGTTGCAAAATTAGTCACGGTGCGATGCATGTTGGCCGTTGCGGCCAAGCGAAATTGGATTGTACACCAACTTGACGTTAACAATGCTTTTCTCCATGGAGATCTTTCTGAAGATGTTTATATGCGTATCCCACAAGGATTTGTCAAAAGTGGTGATACTCGTGTTTGCAAGTTACAAAAATCTCTATACGGACTGCGACAAGCCTCCCGTAACTGGTATCACAAATTTACCGAAGCTCTTAATGACATCGGTTTTCGCCAGTCCCGAGCAGATCACTCATTGTTTATTTTCCAAATGGTCACATAAATACTTATGCCCTTATTTATGTTGATGATGTATTGTTGGCCGGAGATGATATTTCTCATATTTCCACTGTCAAGAATTACTTGGACATAAAATTCAGTATAAAAGACCTGGGGAAGCTAAAATACTTTCTTGGCATTGAAGTTGCACGATCCCCCGATGGTTTTGTCTTAAGCCAAAGGAAGTATACTCTTGACATCCTGGAGGAAAGTGGGCTTCTAGCGGGCCGCCCCAGTGCATTTCCCATGGAGCAAAATTTAAAATTGAGACCAGACGATGATAGCCCACCTGTGGATGCCTCTTCTTACCGCCGGCTGATTGGGCGTTTATTGTGTCTCACAGTGACCCGGCCAGACATTGTATATGCTGTTAGTCAGCTTAGTCAATTTCTCAACAGCCCTCGACAAACTCATCTCAATGCCGCCGTACGTGTCATACGTTACTTAAAGCACACACCAGGACAAGGGATTTTTTTATCATCTACTAATGACCTAACATTAAAAGGTTATTGTGATGCTGATTGGGCAGGATGCCCTTTTACTCGTCGCTCCAGTACTGGTTATTTTATTACTCTAGGTGGTTCACCTATCTCATGGCGCACAAAGAAACAATCTGTTGTTTCTCGTTCTTTCGCTGAAGCAGAATATCATGCCATGGCCGTCACTGTTAGTGAAATAGTATGGCTCCGCTGGTTGCTTCAGGACCTCACGGTTAACCACAACAGTCCCACACCCCTTTATTGTGACAACCAGGCAGCCCGTCACATTGCACTTAACCCGGTTTTCCATGAGCGGACCAAGCATGTAGAAATGGACTGTTATTTTGTGAGAGAAAGGGTTGCTAGAAATGAAATTCAACCACTGTGCATTTCTACTTCCAATCAAGTTGCAAATATATTTACTAAAGCACTTGGAACCGATCGTTTTCAGTTTCTTCGAAGCAAGCTGGGTGTTCGCAATCTTCACACTCCAACTTGAGGGGGAGTATTGAAATAATTAGATACTCTACACTTCCATTATTTCCATATCACCATGTGTATTGTTTTCATTTAAGTTAGCACCCCTGCGTGGGTATCATTACATGCATGTCCCATGCATGTTTCCTCTCTCTTCATACCACACTTATTTGTATTATATATAGCATGAAAATGCTCCTGCATGTATATACGCATATATTGAACTCCTTCAAGGAGGATTGTTTCTTCCCATCTATTTCATAGTTTCACCAATACTCATCAATTTTATCATACCGTTTGAAACGGGTACGGGATCGGTCAGTGGCGGATTTGGAAGTCAAATTTTGGGAGTTCAATTCTTTTTTACAACAATAAATTTTAAGAGAAATAAATAATTATACTAGAATTAGACATATATACCAACATGTTTTTCAAAATTTTGGGTGTTCATGTGAACACCTTGGAACAACTGTGGCTCCGCCACTGGGATCGGTCCTAGATTTTGAGAACCGAAAATACCGGGCTGGACCATTCAGAAATAATGCGTTTGAAATTTTTATATCTTTCCCATACCAATAAATCTCTTTTATAGACCACCGGTTTTATAGCCCAAGTATGCATTCATGAATCCCTAAAAAATAGCTAAATGTGTGCGCTTATATATTGTTATTTTTTCTTTTTAGATAATTTATGTTATATTTTAGTATGTATTGAAAGAATGTTAAAGTTTCAAAAATCAATGACTATTCATTTATAGTAATGTAGTGTAGATGACTCTTGTTGTATCATGTTTGTGCAATTTTACAACTTAAGTAATACTATCGTATTGTTTAAATCTTGGCTCTCAGAGGTCAACTATAAATTAAATTAGAACTAATATTTAACCTACAACAAAGAAGAATGTTGATTTTTTCTATTATATTCAACGACTTGATGATATTCTTTTTTATATTTTCACATGAACTTAGTAATTGAAGATGATATTTTCTCGTGTATCATCATCTTGCTATACTTTTTTTATTGTGTTGCACTATTTGTGTATTTGTGAATTTTAGTACTACGTATGAAATTCCTTGTATTTATATCAACATTTCATGTGAATTGGTTTGTGTGATGATATCAAGTAATTGCAAAATTTGTTCAAAAATTTTAGCACATGTTTGATATTATAGTTTACCATTTTGTACCGTTCCGAAACGACATGGTACCGAATGGTTTCTTCTTTAGAGCCGGACCATACAAGTTTGTTAGAAACCTCATAGATACATTATGAGTTTTACTAATTTACCGAACCGCTCCCACCTCTAAAAAATGAAAGGATAAAGTGGTTAGTGTTTTGAATTTTATAGTAATTTGAGAGAATAAGTTGATAAAGTATTAAAGTGGCTATTTCATTAGTACTCCCTCCGTCCCACTAACAATGGGACAAGAGGGAGTGACATGCAAATCTATAAAAAGTGGTTTATGTGGTTGATATTGAATTGATAAAGTAAGAATAAAGTAAGAATGATTTAGAGCCACAAAACTTTGCCAAATAAGGTATGAGACAATCTTAGTGGGACGGACCGAAATGGTAAAATGTGACAATCTTAGCGGGACGGAGGTAGTAATTTTTATGATTTTTCTAATTCATGTTGGTGTTTCGAATAAGTTGCTAATACCTGAAAGGATAGAGTCCAAATTACTACTCGATACAATATTATTATTAATATTATTACTAATGTATTTTACTCAACATTTTTTGTCAATCAAAAATGAAATTGTCAATGCTCCGTATCGATAGTTAATTGTCAAAACTTTATACCAAATTGTTTTGCAAAATCAACATTTTTTGTCAATCAAAAATAAATGTCAATGCTCCGTATCGATTGTGAATTCAATTTTTAATAATTACTCCGTAAAATTTACATATTCAGAAACTACATTAAAATCTTTTCCAATTTGGAAACCCCAAATTAGAACATATGGAGTAATTAACAATTGACATAATAATTAAGCTTATAAAATGAAATTATTTGAATAAGAAAAGTCAAATTTGCAAATCAATTTAAAAGGCAGATAATATAAAGTTTCCACATAAGACTGACTAGTGTTACCAATTCTCATACTTCCGGGTCAAAAATGCATTCTGGAAAAAAGTGAAGGTTTCAAAAAGTGTTTTCCGCTCGTTGGGTCCATCAGACCATAACATGCATCATATCCAGTGTAGTTAATTCATCCCACCGTTTCTTCATTCTCTCACTTCATTCATATATCATAATCATCATCAGTCTCTTCTCTTCTCTTGAGATCTCGGTAATATATAGTGCATTCAATAGGCAGCCCTTTTTACTCGAGCAGTCTTAAAAACCTCATTGGCTCTCCTTTTTCAACTCACATTCCTCCACTCTCCTTTTGTCCGTTTGTGAATATTCATTCACTCAGAAACAAGCTCTTTCTTTTCCTTTCCTTGTTTGCATAATTTGCATTTGTAATATCAGAAGTACTACTCTCAGGCCTTCATAAATCACAACGACTATCCCACTGGCATTTTCGTCCAATTAAGGTCTGTTCTTAGTATATGAAACCATCCCCCATTTTTATTTTGTTGCGAACATATCATTATATAGCATGAACCAAAGATTCCAACTTTTCTTGAATTTTCAGCCTGAAACTAAAAGGTGGAATCTTTATTTTCTTGTGGGTAAAGTGGTTTTTTTGCTTGATTAAGGTATTAAATGACTTTTTGTGGTCCTTTAGCTGATAAGATAAAGAGGTTGTGTGTGAAGGCTAGCATGAGCTTAAAGATTCCATCTTTTCTTGAATCCTCAGCCTGAAACTAAAAGGTGGAGTCTTTATCTTGGTTTGGCTATAATGGAGGGTGGGTTTTGGTTAATTAAGGTAAGAATGAAGTTGTTTGGTGTTTTAGTTGATTAGTTAAGGAGTCTGAAACTAAAAGGTGGAGTCTTTATCCTTTATTGGCTAAAATGGAGTGTGGGTTTTACATAATTTACACTAAAATTGACTTTTTGTGGTGTTTTAGTAGGTTAATTAAGGAAGAGGAGGAAGAAATGGAGCCAAGACAGAGTGAAGAGGCAATAGTTGTGCCTCATATAATCAGGGGAACTCTTCATGAAGAGCTTGAGGATCAAAGAGATGATGGGGATTTTATTAACCAAGAACCAAAACTTAATCTCAAAAGCTTTCTTTGGCATGGAGGATCTGTTTATGATGCTTGGTTCAGCTGTGCTTCAAACCAGGTGAGTACTATTTCCTTTGCTGCCAGTATTATTATACGTAGTAATTTTTACAGAGGTAAATAAAACCAGCAAAATTAATTTCTGGGAAGAAAATGTAAATAATAATGGTGAGAATTGGGCTATTCTTTTTCAGGTTGCCCAGGTTCTTTTAACTTTGCCGTATTCATTTTCCCAAATGGGAATGCTCTCAGGAGTGATTCTGCAGATCTTTTATGGTGTTCTGGGAAGTTGGACTGCTTACCTGATCTCTGTACTCTATGTGGAGTACAGAACCAGAAAAGAGAAGGAGAATGTCAGCTTCAAGAACCATGTTATCCAGGTTAATTATTTTGCTTCCAATAAATAATTCGTACTTCCCATTCTTTAAAAAATCATTTCATTATTAGGTAGTGGATTGGGACGTGTAGAGAAATATAGAAAACAATTTATGAAATAAGGAGTATATTTGCATAGAATGTGAACTAAAGAAAATAAAAATAATACCTTGCATTTGATAGACAGGAATACAGGATAGACCTGTAACATTCATTTATTTAAGCAACTTAAAAAACGTACGTCATAGATTTTTCACTTTTATGGCCTATGTGATAGAAGTATGAATCTTGAAGGAAAAGTATTTTGTAAAACCAATTGTAGCCTAATAGAGAGTATGTAAATCAAGAGCTACTGATTGTAATTAATTACTATGTTTATTCTATTGATTAGTATAAAAATGTTTTCTTTTGGACTGTTTTCAGTCCTAGATCAGACCAGACCAGACTTCCGTAGTTATAAAATACACCTAAGCCGGCTACCAAACATGCATATTCCATTTGCTAAAAGCTAAAAATTTGACTGAGTGAAGAGTTATTTGTCTCAAAATGATCCAAGTTTTTTTGGCGGTACTTTGTTTTTTTCTCATAGTATCTGTTCTGTTAATTACCAACATCCTTGACTGGAATGAGTTTTGAATTTGCGACCTCTTGGGAGTGTCACAGTGATGCCAACGAATCACAGTAATTGAAATATACATACTCTGGTTTAGAAACTACGCTAAATTGGGTAAAAATCCAATTTGAATTAGACAAAATTTGATATTTATTACTACCTCTGTCCCTTTTATATTGGGGCGGAAGAGGCTGGCACGAGTTTTAAGAAAAGTGGGTTTGTGTGGTTGATATTAATTGATAAAGTAAGAATAAAGTAAGAATGATTTTGAGCCACATAAACTTTACCAAATAAGATATAAGACAATTAAATAGGAACATCCCAATATGGTAAAACGGAACATTTAAAAGGGGACAAATGGAGTATAAATTAATTAAAACATTGATCCTAGAGCCGTACTGAGGAAAAATGACTTGGGAGGAAGGAGTATATTTTATTATTTGGTTAAAAGAAGTTGCAAAAAGCTACACTTTTCCGTAACTTTTTTTTTCATTGCTCGAAATATGTACTCCGTATTACGGAGTACCAAATAGGCAAACAGGCACGTAAAACCTCTTTGCAGAAAACATGTACTCCATACAATATTACAGAGTATTATTAATATTATTACTAATGTATTATTATGTCTATGTATATGTAGTGGTTTGAAGTGTTGGATGGGTTGTTGGGGCCCAAATGGAAAGCAGTGGGACTGGCATTCAATTGTACCTTCCTTCTATTTGGTTCAGTCATTCAGCTCATAGCTTGTGCCAGGTTCTTCTGCTCATTGATACCCTCCCTAGTCCCTCCCTCTTCTTCATCACTTTTAACTACTCAATTTTAGCTGTCCTCCTTTAGACAATTCAAACTTTCACTTATAACTTTTTTTTAATTAAAGTTTCACTTATAATTAAGTGACAAAATTTGATTTCTAATTTGATTTTAAAATAATTGCAGCAATATATACTACATTAATGACCGGTTGGACAAGAGAACGTGGACTTACATCTTTGGGGCGTGCTGTGCAACCACTGTGTTTATCCCATCTTTTCACAACTATAGGTTATGGTCCTTCCTTGGATTGGGCATGACAACTTACACCGCATGGTATTTGACCATTGGAGCTATTCTTCATGGACAGGTAGTATTATTGAGTATTGACCAAAATATATAAAGAGTATGAGTTTTTTCTGAAAGTAATGCTATATAAAAAATATAATTACAGATCGAGTTAAAGTTATTTCTCAAAATACTATGGGGATGAAGGGCAGTTAAGAAAAACGCCACTTGAATTGGCAGCTTACGCAAAGAAAAGAATGGCACCGTGGATCCCAATGAAATAAAAACCCTATTTTTGAACTGCTACTCCCTCCGTCCCAAAATGAGAGTCCCATTTCTTTTGGGCTCAAAGATTAAGGAAGTGGTTGAAAAAGTAAAAGTTGTGGTTGAGATTTGAGTAGAAAAAGGTGAAATGATGTGGACCACATATTTTTTTTCCAAAAAGAGAAATGAGACTATCAATTTGGGACGGCCCAGAAAGGAAATACGGGACCATCAAATTGGGACGTAGGGAGTATAACTTTTTTTTGTAACTTTTTTGTATATTTATAATGATCAATTTGTACACCCGATAGCTCTTGGTTTTGGCCCATATATGCACAGTTATTTTAACAAAAATTCTACTTGAACACCCCAGCTTATACGCCCGTTTACACGCCAAATGTACTTTTCTGGGCATAGACACCGTAGTAAAGGAAACTTTTTGTCACACCGAAAAAGCGAAGTTGTCTGCGCACAGACAATTCGTGGTCATAGAGAGTTCCCTTAACTAAAATGAAAATCAATTGTTTACACACAAAACACACTTAACGTGTAGACCGACATATAAGCTGGTGTGTACAAGTAACATTTTTGTTCTTTTAATTCATGAAAACACTATAATTGCTACTTTATTGGCATGAGCTTATACGTTTTTCCCTTCGCTTTATAGGTTGAAGGTGTTACTCATAGTGGCCCTAGAAAGTTGGTACTTTATTTTACAGGCGCGACCAACATACTCTACACTTTCGGTGGGCATGCGGTCACAGTGTGAGTAAATTATTACCCTTCCCCCACTTTGTTAAATTTCATACTCCAAAATAAATTTTACCATAAGAAATGAGTTGTTTTCAATGATTATGTATCCATGAGAGAACAACCCTTGATGATGAAAAGGGGGCATAAAACTGCACGGTTTCAAATTTAGAATAGTCATTATTGTGATAGTACATAATCTCATACAGTAGTCAGTCAACTAAACAAAAATCTTAAGGTCTTTTATTCTTCAAATTATTGGACATTAAAATAGTAATTTTGGTGGCATCCAATGATATAAGTTTATTAATTAGTTGTGCAAGTTTCCTAACTTTTGCCCACGATGTCTTTACTTTGGACTTTCTGCTAGTCCTTATTTAGTCAACCCACATTCCGCAATTTGTTGACTTAAGTACACTAATTGATAATGACATGCATGATTTCAGATATCAAACATGGAGATCTGATCTTCCACTTTTTGAATATTTTTATCAGATTTTCTTTTGCTCTAAAGTTGCATTTTATGTCATGACAAAAAAGATGTACTATATGTTACATGAATTATTAAACATAAATCATTAACAAGCAATGAACATAAAGATACAATTTAAAGCATAAATTAATATAATTGCAATTTTTTTCAGGGAAATCATGCATGCTATGTGGAAACCTCAAAAGTTCAAGTACATCTATCTATTTGCCACACTTTATGTCTTCACCTTGACACTTCCATCCGCCTCGGCCATGTATTGGGCATTCGGGGATCAACTTCTCAACTATGCCAATGCTTTTGCTCTCCTACCTCGAAACGGTTTCCGTGATGCCGCCGTGATTCTTATGCTAATACACCAGGTCGGTCTTCACCTAATAAATACATATATATGAGGAAAACGCTATAAGTAGAAACAAACTTACAAAAAAATTACAAACATGTGATGTGGCTATTGTAACTTTTGGCCTACACTCATTGTTTCGATTGTTAGCTCACAACTATAATATTTTTTCAGTTATCGGTCTTCTTCAGTCACCTATCCGGTGAAAATGAAGTAGAAGTAGTACATACATTGAATAGATAAGTGGTCCATAGACCAAAAGGGGTAATAAATCCTTATTAGTGCCATAAATGTTTAATAAACCAAACAACTGATAGTCTGACAAGTGTGTAAAAGTTTAAAGGAATGAACAACTGTTCTGTACTATGTTAACATTTAACATACCCCCTCCTCTCTTAATTATCAGTCGCGGCAAGGGTTCCATACATCTCAAGAAAATCTGTATAGGAAATTAAGAATTTGAATTAGTAAGGGATTTTGGAATTGTAGGTTCAATTCTTTTGGGTTACATTCATTTGAAAAAAGAATTGAGACAATTATTTTGAAACTTAGGGAGTGATACACAACTCTTTTTTGTAAGAAACATGAATCTATCCAATAGGAAACAGAAATGGAAATTTGATATGATAATCCTAGTTTAATACTTACCGCATTCATAAATAATCTCTCACTTTCTTTTTTCCATGTTTGGAAATAATCTACCCCAAAAGTAACTAATATACTTTTAGTGTATAGCATTATTGCTAGAATACTATGGATGTTTTCTTTTGGACTGAAATTTGCTGGTTTGGTCTGGTCTGGTCTGGTAAATGTCTAATCTGTGTGTATTTTATAACTACGGAAGTCTGGTCTGTGATTGAAAACAGTCCAAAAGAAATTTTTTTAAATACATATACTTTTTCAATTGCCATACATTAACACTATTAACAAATCTTAAACTTCATGAACCCATACCTAGAGTGCGATTTAGGAACAAAGGGAGTAATCAGTAGTAATATTCTTAAAACTTCGTGTCACGTTATTTAAGTCTGATTTGGTCAGTTTAAGTTTGATTTTTTTTAGAGTTAAGTTTAAGTTTGATGTTGTATGGTCTAATCTTATAAGGTGTAGTATAATATTATGTGCATTTTTCCATTACCTTATGTTTGGTTACTTGGTTTGAAAAGTTTTGATTGGGTTTTGACAGTTCATAACATTCGGATTTGCGTGCACGCCATTATACTTTGTTTGGGAGAAAGTAATAGGGATGCACGATACAAAGAGCATGTGCTTAAGGGCACTTGCGAGGTTACCGGTGGTGATACCAATATGGTTCTTGGCCATAATTTTCCCATTCTTCGGCCCTATCAACTCTGCAGTAGGGGCACTTCTAGTTAGCTTCACTGTCTACATCATCCCAGCCCTTGCTCATATGGTCACTTACAGAAAGGCGTCGGCCCGGCAGGTAACCTGTCACTTTCGTTTCTCCTTTTGTACGTCCTGTCTTGCTGGTTCTGCCAAACAACCCCTCTACTCATTAACTGGCCACACCATTTCCATGATTGATTGAGTTGAGCCCAAAGTATGTTAGAGTACTTCCAACCTCCATAATAGAATAATACGGAGTAATAGGTATTTAGATTGTGATTCATTCACTCTCCATGGTTACTTTTTGCTATAATTTGGCCATCTAGTTTAGTTACAATTAAGATGAGATTAGGGTGCTAATGATGATGATTGAGTGCTAAAGTAAACATGGGTGGATTAAACCATCGTTCAAGTATTAAAATACAAACTTACATATAGGTATAAGGTGATCTTTTAGGGTAAAACTCAACTTAATAAGAGATCAGAGTCGATTGAATTCCAAATCTCCAACGCATAATCGTGGTCTTAACAATAAGGATGTTTTTACATGGACTATAATTTGTTGGTCTAGTCAGGTCTTTTTAAGTCAGGTCTGGTGAATGTCTGGTCTCTGTGCATTTTATAAGTACGGAAGTGAAGTCTGATCTGGTCTGGTTTGCTTAGATTTAGTCTGGTCTGGGTTGTTCTGTTTAAGTCTGGTCTGATCTAATCTGGGATTGAAAACAATGCAAGTAAAAACACCCTAAAAGATTAGTTTGCTGCAACTAGCCACAATCCTCGAAGCATGTTAACTCTTCATATATCGGCTTAATGCCAAGTTACAAACCTACAACCTCCTTATGAGTTATGGCTACTCCTCATATAAAGCCTTTCACAAATCCAAACCTGAATAGAATGCCAAATACTACAAGTGGGAACGCCTCATCTATTTGAAAAGACCAATAGAAGGAAAAAGATATAAAAAAAAAACTAATAATTGTGACTTGTGAGTTCAAAGAGTAAATTTTATTTACTACTACGTAGTAGGGTCCTTCAATGAATGATGGACTCTATCATGGTGTTTCAAGTTAAGGAGACACAAGATGCAAAGGATAAGACACCACGTATGGGAAATTGGATTCTAGCATTTGGTATTTACACTATTTCCCAATCTCAAGTAACACACAGAGAGGCATGAAGACAGCTTGTGGTTGGTGGTTGATGAGATTTAGAATGTTCGGTAGTGTAATTTGAGGGCATTTCCGGTGATTATTATGTGTCTTAAAGCTCTAACCACAAAACCATATCCCAAGTTGTGGTACCATTGACCCACTTGAAAATTGGGCTGTCTCATCCCTGTTCTTGGCTAATCTGGGTTTCATGAACAGCTGGAACCAAATTTGGCTTCTTCTTTTTGTTCACATAAATGACACACCACAAGAATCCATGACCGTGTGTATGAACGTGATAATGTACATCTCTTCCACCTAATTAGCAATATCCAAGTTCGGTATTGATATGCTCTAACTAGTCACGATTAGATATTATATATCAAAACAAATATTCCGTATTTATTACTATCTCCATCCCACTAACATCAGGACATAAAGAGGTGGTGTGGGTAGGAGTGGACCCGGTCCCGGTCTGGCTGGTCCCAGTCAGTGCTAGGGGAAGCCCGAGTCTGACCTGGTTAAGTTCGGGTCTGTGCCGGTTCCAAGTACTCGGGCACACCGGAATAGGACTCGGAACCGCCACGTCCGATCCCCAAAATTCAATCCCGGGCCCGCCAATTACCTTGAACTGGGACCAAAAAAACGGACACGCTCCTGTCCCAAATAGTGCTGGACCCGATTCTGGGCCGGACCACCGGATTGGATCCACCCTAGGTGCGGGTAATAAAATGTGAGTTTATGTGGTTGATATTGAATTGATAAATTAAGAATAAAGTTAAAGTGATTTAAAACCACACAAATTTTACCAAATTTCGTATGAGTCAATCTTAGCAGGTCGGAGAGAGTATAAATTAATTTCACTAATTAATTTATGATTCCTTTGTAAATAGTTTGGCTTTCATGAGTAGATATTAATTAGCAAGGAAAGTATAATTATCAAAATATAAACATAGTTAAAAAATTGGCTTTCATGACTATATAGTTTGGCTTTCATGAGTAGTTATTAATTGGCTTTCATAAGGAAACTATTTTTGTAAAATGTAAACATAGTTAAAAAATGCAAAAATAGAAGCCAATGTTTAAACTTTTCAAAATATGAATCAATTTGTGATCGGATAAAACACTTTTGTAGCGATTGAAACTTGATCACTAGATTGTGGCTGGACTGCCACCAAATGAAGATTTACATTGACACATATTTTACAATACTTTTCATAATATAATATTTCAATGCATCAACAAATAAAATGCAGTGAGAACAGAGAATTTGAACTATATAAAAGTCCAAGTGTTCCAAGTTTCCAAATAATAAAGAGCATATTTCGAGTTATTTAATACATTATGAGTTTGAGTAACACCAGCTATTTGGTTCAACTTTTGGATGGGACGAAACTTCAAATTCTAATAATTTTAGCACGATACAAATATGATTAATCTCATGTCTTAATTAACAAATAATTACGGAGTAATATTGTACACTAAATGACTGTTTGGCTAAGTTCTTTGCTCCCAACATACTTATGAAGTATTAAAAGTGATGCATCAAGTTTTTCTGGCTACTATTGTATGATTTATTCCTTTTGAATTTTATTTTATTACTACAAACCCCTTAACCAAACAACTCATATTTCCTTGATGACATTGTTTCTCAGCTCATTTTGTACTTTCTCCTAATCTTATGAACTCTATATTTAATTTTCCCAGAACGCGGCAGAGAAACCACCCTTCTTTCTTCCAAGCTGGACGGCGGTGTACGCGCTGAACACATTTGTTGTTGTATGGGTCTTTGTAGTCGGGTTCGGGTTCGGAGGATGGGCAAGCATGAGCAACTTCATCAGGCAAGTCGACACCTTTGGCCTCTTCGCCAAGTGCTACCAGTGCAAGCACAATCCTCCAGTGACGAAACATCATACATAAAATACTTTTATAATAGACATTATTATAACGTAATTTCATTGCATGTTTTTCTTACTCTATTGTTGTTGTAGGGGTTATTTCCCATCTTGTGTGCTGCCTTTTAGTTTACGTATTTGTGTTTAGCGTGTACAAAATTTTTAAGTAGAGTGATTGGGTTGAATTTGATTTCTTGGGGTCAAATAGCTGTTAAACCTGGAATGATCTGAACAAATTGGCTAATGCCATGCATAATTATATGACATAATTTCTTCCTTTTGGGCCCATATTATCATTCAACTTTGAGAATAGTCACATAAGGTCATGTACTCAATAAAGTGTTATATAAGTACCTCTACCTTTGAAAAACAATCAAATGAGTCCCAACGATCTATTTACAATCTCCTAATTCCAGTTTTAGCTTACATGCCGTACAATCTACTTATATGACACTTTATTAAGCCCAACCTGGTACAACAATCCCAATCTATTGCACTCACGAACATTTAACACTTGACTTCTAAGGTTTTAACTAGGGGTGGACTCTGGCCGGTTTGGGCCTGGGCCTGGCCAGGCCTTGGTTCATGAAAGGAGAGGCCTAGAACCGGCCCGGGTAATCCCCGGGTCCGGGTCGGGCCGGGCCTCGGTTCATTTTTTTTTTGGCTTTTCCTAATTAATCCCCAACCCTCCCCCCACCCCCAAACCACCTCAAATGGCCCAAAATACCCAGCCCAACCCAAAAACTTAAAAAAATTCAAAAAAAAAAAGAAAAATAAATAAATTGACCCGGACCGGGCCCGAACCGGCCGGGCCGGTTCACCTTTTGAGGGCCCCCGAGCCCGGCCCGGAACCCCAGCGGACCGGTACCTGGCCGGGCCGGCGGTTCGGACCGGTTCAAACAGTGATCGGGGCGGGCCGCCCGGCCCGAGGCCACCCCTAGCTTTAAGTTTCAACTTTCAACTTTCAATCACTTATGGTGTATTGGTGATGCACTTTTCTGGATAACCTATAAATATACTACGTATTATAAAGAATAAAAATAGGGAAGTTATCCTAAATTGGACTTAAAACGTATGTATATTAAAAAATAGAACTATAATGTTTTTATCCCAAAATAGGATTAATTATTGTCATGTTTTAGCACTATCAGACATTAAACCTGATAATTTTTTCCATTATTGATTGTTTTATTTTGGAATTTCTAAACGTTTTTTTACTCCTATAGAGAATTTTCCTATAAAAATATTATAAAGTTTATTTTATTAAACTACGATAAATAAAAATATAAGAATAATTTTTTAAATAAAAGTAAAATTACAAATAGTTAGAAAACTTTATAAAGTTTATTCATTTTTACAATTTTAAAGACGTTACAGAATATATAAAACTCTTAATAAATTAAAAATAGTTTTGCTTGGGAGCAGAGGCAGTAAATTTAAAATAGGGAATTTGCTTAGTGACGTAAAGGAAACAGTAAATTAAAAAGTACTCCGTAATGAATCATCCCCAAGCTAATTTTCTCTAAAGACGAAGCTCCGAAGCGGTAAATTATAAAAGAGTTTTTGCCATTTTTGGTCCCTCGACTATTATGTCAATGACACTTTTGGTATTCGACTTCCAATTGTTCCATTTTTAGTCCTTGACTATTGTGCTAGAGACAATTTTAGTCCCCGACTTCAAGGTTTCCCACATTTAGTCCTTGAGTATTGTCAAATTGACACTTTTATGAAAGTTGAAGGACTAAATATGAAAATTTTCAAAGACGGGTACCAAAAGTGTCTCTAGCGCAATAGTCAAGGACTAAAAATGGAAAAAATCAAAGTCGAGTACCAAAAATGTCAATGACACAATAGTCGGATGACTAAAAGTGGAAAAAACTCATTATAAAATTATTACTCTGTATTGTTCATGTTCGGAAGTTGTGTTCCTGCTGTAACAAAATTGGATTTATTCCTGTTAGTATTTATGGGCTTTTGAAATCTTTTAGCAGAAACTAGTAAGTTATTGTGGACATGATTCTAATTTGGGTCGGTTAAGTCAAGTCAAACGTGGAGGCCCATGAGGAATCTGCAATGTACTGTTACAAACTCCAGTTTGGACTTTGGGTCCATAAGTTCATCAGAAATAATTTTGTCATCTTGAATTGGCTGTTTAAGAAGAGCTGTTGGGATGTAAAAGACGAATAAGGGCATTAAATATGTACTATTTCTCGTTATTGTGTATAATATTCATAACATAATTCCAATTAGCGCTGGACAAAATGGTTTGATTTGATCGAACCGAACCAAAAATTGGTGGTTTGGTTTGGTTTGGTTTGGTTTAGGTTTACTTAAGTAAACTGATTGTTAGAAATTTCTCAAACGGAATGGTCTGGTTTGGTTTGATTTAAAACTGAAAAATCGTAACCTGAACCGAAGATCAAACAACTTGTAATATATGTAAATACTTTTATTTTTCTTCACTCTTTATCTTTAGCATATAAATAATTTAGACATAAGAAATACAAATTTAGCATTTATCATTTTAACTTTTACACCATTCATGCATTCATTATGACAAGATTAGTTAATACGATATATTTGTATTTGTTATGTTTTGTATGAAAAGATATTTGGCGATAAGAATAGCAAATTGCATTTTTTTACATGATTCATTTGAATGAAATTGTGAATATTACAACATTTGCACCACTTACTCATTTAGATAGTTTTCTTTGAATACTTTATGTAATATTGTGAATGATAATCAACTATAAATTTATTTTTTGTGAGAAATGAATCTTTGTCTAGTGAATGAAAAGATGTTATAAGTTTTAATTTATACGTAGTAATATTTTATTATTTCTTTTTCTATCTTTTATTTTCTTTAATATTTTATTTAAATGATAAATAAAAGAAGATGAGATTGACTACTACTTTCTTTTCTAATTCTAAAATATAGAACTGAATAAAATAAAATAATAAACATAAGAAACCGAATCAAATCAAACTAGATTGAACATAATAAGTTTCACTTTGGTAAACCGAACTTCAAATCGAACCAAACCAAAACCGAACCGAACCGAAATCAAATCAAAACACAAGTGATTTTAGTTTGGTACAAATTCTCCTAAACCGAATAAATGAAATCAAACCGAAACCGAAGAGAACCAAACCGTAAACCGAATTGACCACCCCTAATTCCAATTATCTATAGAAGAGCATATATAGCTCAAACTAGCGTTTGATCGCGCAAGGCACGAGATCTTATGCCCAATGTTAAATTAATATATTTTTTGTAGAGAAGGACTACTATCATATGAGAAAGAATTATGAGGTGGTTTTAAATCGCCTATGGATTTGTCCTATACTTTTTTTGTAAATAACATTTTCACAAGTATTGAGTGGAAAATTCGATTATATTTCTAAAACTATGTGATTCAGTGGATTATGTATTTTATTTTACTAAATGAAATGATTGTGGTGACAGTATGCTTTTATTATAAAATATAACACTAGTATACATGTTATCGACGTGTGAAATTATGTGGATAAAGAGATGGTAGTAGTGTATGGTTTGAGTGAATTTCAAAGTTTAAAAACCATTTCCGACAACCACCATTTTTACAAGCAAAGAGATCAAACTTTTATATCTTGCCTGACAATTGTTTATTTCTTAGTAATTATTAGAGCTTAAATTATGTTACAAGTGTGTAGGGGGGTGAATTTTGAAGTTTAAAAAACATTTCTAACTACCAATATTCTACGCTACAAGTAAAGAGAAAATGGCTGTTGTGACATTTCTGAGGCTTCATTTCAGACTTATAAAAAATATATGGAACACTACCTCCGTCCCATAATATTGGAACAAAGTAGTGTGGTGCGGTTTAAAAAAAAGTAGAGTTGTGAGTTAATAATGAATTGATAAAGTGTGAATAAAGTAAGAATGAATTAGAACTACACAAATATCATCAAATATGATATGAGACAAATTCAGCGGGACAGACAGAAAAGCAAAAATGGAACAATTATAATGAGACAGACAGAAAAAGAAAAATGAGACAATTATAGTGGGACGTAAGGAGTATGTCATACTCCGTAGCAAATTGTCTTTTTTGGATATGTGGTACATAGCAGATTGCCTATCCCTTTGCGAATGAATTAAATTAAAATACCACCATGGAAAATGCTCCAATTGAAGTCCTATAGAGTCCTATAGATATCCCCATGGATATCTATCGTGTAAATATCCCTGTTGATACAAAATAATAACCAAATCTGTAATTAATGGAATTATCCAACAATAATTGCTTAATGAGGAATGAAGATTTTGTGTGTGTTAGTAATCAAACAACTATCGATGAAAGTATATGAGTAATCACAGTTGGAGTTGAGTCTTAAATTTTACCTCAGTTACCCGTTTTGATCTCAAGAGCATTAATAAAGTGTAACAATTGTGATTGAACTGATGACAAACGCTGGATTTGTATTTTGTAGCCAATGAATTCATGTATGTTCGGTTTGAAAGAAGAGAAGGTGGTGGGGATTTAATGTTCCATAGTGAAATGAAGCGTCAGACTGAAGGTGGGTTCAGCTACGGGAATAGTGGGATACTATGCGGTTCTAAGCATTTTAATTAACTTAAAGAGTTAAAGGGAGTTAAATGTTTAACGTCATATACGGGTAAAGATGTCACATGAAGAAATAGGGTACCATTTTTTAAGAGTAATGTACAACTTCATATGCATTTCATATGCATAACATGTATTGACATAAATCAGGGGTACTAACCCCCTTTCACAATTATAATGTTGTTATAGATATTTTAAACACGTGTAATTCCGTTTGTTATAATAGCTAACAAACTTTTATGTTATTTTTTAGTTTAGATAATTTTGGGTCAATTAATGCAATCATTTACCATATACGAAGAAATAAGTATACTTTTAAGTTAATGAATATAACATAAAATCTACGAAGTAATGCCTTAGGATGTTTTCTTTAGGACTGAAATTTGTTGGTCTGGTCTGATCTGATCTGATCTGATCTGAACTGAACTGATCTGAACTAGTCTGAACTAGTCTAGTAAATGTCTGGTCTCTGTGTATTTTATAACTACAGAAGTCTGGTATGGTCTGATCTGATATGGGACTGAAAACAATCCAAAAGAAAACATCCTTACATATGGATGAAATAAAACTTTTCAACTCTTTCTTATTGGTAATCATTTACTCTCTCCGTCCCGGAATTAACTTCGGTTTTGACTGGGCACGGAGATTAAGAAAGTGGGAAATGTGTGGTGGAGAGTTGTGCAGAGGAGAGAGAAATGTGTAAGAATGGTTGTGAACCACAAATCCTTTGCTAAAAAGGGAAAGAGGAGATAAATTTGGGACGGACCA